GGAAACGGAGAACCCGGGGCCGGGGGCGTGGTCTCCGTGCAACGGTGCTGCGCCCAGGCGGGTAGCAGTGGGTCAAGGTGCAGTTTCTGTAACTCCTGGAGTGGAGGGATACACGTGCGCCTCGAGTGCGCCGTGGGGTTAAGGTGAACCCCGAGTGACAGGATTCCCCGAGTTCTCGGAGGCGGTAGGGACACATCCTCCCCTGTCGCGTGAGGCCAGCCTTCTGGACACATTGCAGTCACAGAGCTTGGCCTTGGTGCTCCTTACGGGGCAGGGCGATGATCACTCCCCCGCTCCCGGATCGGTTCAGAAACAGAATTCTCCTAGGCAGGTTCCCTGGACGAATGCAGATTCCCGTTTCTCTCAGGTTCTAGCAGATCTTTAATGGCCGAAGGGCCTATTAAGTTGGCCTTTGTCCCTCCTTTCCACACAGTCACCAGGCAGAGCTGCTTTGCTCTGATAAACATGTTTTAGTATTCATGGTCGGCAGGAGGCTCAAAGTCTTGTGAGGTCTTTGTTGCCGTACATATCCTCAAAGCTGCCTGGAGGGGGCAGCCCTAGACAGCTTGGGGTGAAACTCCCAGAAATCTTTGCAGACCAGAAGCTTCGCATGCCAAGGCCTATAGGTCGACTTCCCTACTGTCTCATGGCAGCAATCCCTTTGAGTAGCCGGTGTCGTCCCCGCCCCCAGGCTCTAGATCGGCTCAGAAGCTATTGCTGGGCTTCAGCAACTAACTGCCCAGCTATTGTACCTCCCATTTGGGGTCCTTTGTGGTTCTGGAGTGCCATGTTTCCCGAAGGTGGGGTGTGGACACAGTACACGTGCAACCCACTCAGAGAAGTCTCCTCCATGCAGGCAGAATCCAATAGGGCTGGCGGGCAGCAGAGCAGAGCCCACTGCCAGCCTGGCTTCTGGCCTCTAAAGGGAGGAGCTCATAGCCAGCCCAGATCCTGCTGCCTATTTTTTGGAAAAGAGTTTTGCCCTGGGTGCCCTTGAGTAGTCAATGGACTGAAGAAACGGGATCAATTCCACTCACCAGAGCCTAAGGCAGATGGAGGCAAAGAGTACTAGGATTGCTGTTGGGAGGCAGTAGAAGCTGGCTAGGCTAGAGGTTAAGCTGGACCTCAGACTGGACACTTAGCTCAGGTGGACAATAGCTGGTGAAGGCCAGTATGCCACCAGTGTGAGCTCTACAGTGTAGTCCTCCCCACCCGTGTCAGCTCTACAGTGCAGTCCTCCCCACCCGTGTGAGCTCTACAGTGTAGTCCTCCCCACCCGTGTGAGCTCTACAGGGTAGTCCTCCCCACCTGTGTTAGCTCTACAGTGTATGCTTCCCTACCTGTTAGCTCTACATTAGAGTACTCAGGATCCAACAGCCTTGTAGTCTACTCCACGCAATCCCAGATGGGTTATCAGTGCAAAGCCTTTCCTAGCACACATCAGAAAGAGCTCTCCCAGAGCCTGGTGGGTCATAGCAGTAGTCTACACCTGGGAACAGAAGTAAAGAGAATGCTGGCTGTGTCAGTGTTTCTGAACACACTGAGTGGCAAGCCTGGTCACCACTGGATCCTTCTCACCTCCACCCACCCATTTGAAACCTGGCCAGGGCAGGGCAGCATGAGTTACCTTTGTCCCTCTCTAATCTAGGGTGCCACCTGCCAAACACTAGCATGCATAAGAGCAAGAATGCAGCTCTCATGTGCTCTCCACATGGTCCTCTTGCTTTCTTGGTCTCTTGTAGGCACTGAGTGTGTCTGTCTGCAAGAGATGAGAGCACATGGTCTGGAGCTCTAGGTAACCATGGAGGAAGGAAGGGGCTTGAAGACCAGAACCTCCAGGAGAATTAAAACTGAAGACATGCTTTATTTGCATCTCTGAGGTCTGGGTGGGCCCTGAGTTCTCTCACTGCCAAGAGAGATTCAGACCACACTTGTCCTTCATTAAATTGGCCTCTGTATATGGTCACCCATAGGTTGACACTTAAGGGAAAAAGAGAAGCTGATCTCCAATGGAGGGCTGCTCCTACAGGGAGCAGCTTGCTGTCCTGAGATTGTGGGTAATTAAGGACTCATGTAAACTTACCCAGTCTGTGTCTCCTGGCAGCCCACGCCGAGTGGCCAGGGCATGCTGTATGGAGGGGACACTTTGCAGTAACAGGGCGATGGCCCTTCATTGGCTTCTGTGGGGGCCCTTGCTAAGGGCATTGGCTTCTAGAGGTGCTGGAGGCAGCCCCCAGCCATGATGGCCTTTGCAGGCTGAGACTGGCAGCACTAGTCCCATAGATCTGTTTATTTTGTAGTCCACACCAGCTAGGACAGCTTCCCTGCTTTGAAATCACAGTACAAAGCCCCAGGGTGCGACCTTGCAGCACATGTACCTTGAAGTAGTTTTGGTGCTCAGCAATGGGTTAGAAAGTGCTCCTGAGATGGATTTTCCGTAGCATTACAAACAACACGTTGAGTCAGGTGACACAGGAGTAGGACTCTGATACTCAGGAAGAGTTTTTAAATCATATACTGTCGTCCTGTCACTTCATCGAGGTAAGTAAAATCATCCCCTCTAAACTGCTGAGAGGAGTCCTTCATTCATTTGCGTGCTGACAGTCCTGCCAAGTGCTTGGCAGAGGGCATCACTCCAATGGGGTCACTAACCCATGCATGTCAGGCTCTACTGGCTGTTTCGCAGGAATACAGCCTGGCTGCACAGAGCTCAGCGGGCTCTGCTGAAGGTTTCACTGGATAGCTGTATGCCAGCTGGCACCCACTGCCACTGATAAAACCCAGGGCTGTCAGCCAGCCTGATTGTCTCACACCTGTACGGGTTAGTGCAGTTCCTAAGGTGTCTCAGCAAATTGATGCAAGTGGTGTATGCCCAAGCCTACCCAGCCTCTAGTGATACAGAGCAAGGCATACAACTGGGCAGAAAGCTTGAGCCTGAAGGGAAGAGGTCACTCCCAAAGGCAAGCCAGGGCTGGAGGGCAAGCAAGCCTGGTCTTAAAGTGGCCCACTACTAGGAACAGACCCAGGCTAGAGTCACCATCAGGGATTGACTGTGTCAACTGAGACCAAGGCTAGTAATTACTTTCCTCCGTCATTGTCTCATTTAGTAGAGGTAGAATACAACTAACTCCACAGAATTATGTCTTCAGGCCAGTTGTGCACGAGGCAAGCAGATCATGGCATATAAAAGTCCCGAGGCACTCTGCTCTCTTCCCTTCAAGAGCCATGACAGCAACTCCTTGGCCAGTTTGGGACTGTATGACTGCAGCATTCTGCACGGATTGTGTCCCACAGTAAAGGCAACACTATTTGAAACCTGCAAGCCATTCTGCAGCAGAGCTGCACTGGCTCCACCCAGGCCTCCACTTACTACAAACAGTGTGTATACATGACCAAGCTGTTCCTAAAAAGGGGCTCTGCAAGGGGCCAAATGTGGTCTTTTATGAACCTGCTGTATCACACAAAGGCAGCATACATAGGTGGGGCACTCAAAAGACAGTGGCTCCAACTTAAGGCTAGACACATATAATATCCAAGGAGGGTGCAAGGTTTCTGTGGGCATCCTGCAAACAGAGGTACTGGTCCAGGTCCTAACCCAGCATGCAGCAGCCATCAGTGTGGCTGGTGCTCAAGAAACAGAGAGCTGCTTTTTCTCCTCTTCCCTCAAAACCTTCCAGCTGAGAGCCAGACGTGGTGGTGCAGGAGCCTCGTAAGTTTGAGGTAACATAGTAAGACACTGTCTGAAAAAAAAAAGCTCTATTGGAAATGTGGTGTGTGTGTGTGTGTGTGAGTGTGTGTGTGAGAGAGAGGGGGGAGAGGGAGAAAGAGAGAGGGAGATGGGGAGGGAGGGAGAGGGAGAGAGAGACACACACACACACACACAGAGAGAGAGAGAGAGAGGGAGGGAGGGAGGGAGAGAGGGAGGGAGGGAGATGGAGACAGAGACACACACACATACACACAGAAAGAGAGAGAGAGAGGGAGGGAGGGAGGGAGAGAGAGAGAGAGAGAGAGAGAGAGAGA